GAATGAATTACCGTACTTCGTCGATGTCAAGTACAACCACTTTCGCGTTGAGGGCAGCGAACAGCAACGCCATTTCCTTGCCGATGCCACGGGCAGCGCCGGTGATCACCACAACCTTGTCTGCAACCGATTTTCGTTTCGTCGAGAAGAACTCAACAATGGAATGAAAGAAACCGCAGAAAATCTTTAGAAACAGCAAAATCTTGTGTGCCACAGCAGCCATCTATTGTCAAGAAATCGATCGACGATCGGAAATCAAGCACGAAGCGGAAAAGCATTAAATGAACGTTTGTACAACGAAGAGCACAAAAGTAGTAAATTTTATTTGAACGAAAAAAATCGTTAAATGTTACATATAAAAAGTTAAACAAATAAAAAGAAAACAAAATGGAAATAAATTGAGTACACGGTCACGTGGAGCTTCATAGTGCAAAATAATATGCTACGACGACAAATAGCAGCAGGGCTGCTACATGAAAAGGCAAAGGCGGCCACAGCAAATGTATTCTTTTGTTGAACGGTCGAGTACCAGCGACTGAAACAGTTTCGTTTTAAAAGTTAAGATCAACGCCTTGCCGAAAGGAGATCGCCGTAACCAACGATAAGTTGAAACGCCTGAAGAACGACAAAGCATATCTCGGTATATGACGAATCAACGCAACGATAAAACGATCCACATATACAAGGGACTTCGCGCCGTCTCAGTCGTTCTTCATCGAATACGATTCAATCTTGGGATTACTGTACTCGAATTCCACCGTATGAATGCCTAGCAGAGATCCGATATTGTCAGCAACTATCTGACATCGAAAATGAAGCTCCGGCATACGATGCGGCTCAAGTAACTGTAAAAATACCTAAAACAAATCATTCATACGACGTAAGTAATAAAATAACAAAGAGAATTTACAGATGGAAAGGAGTCTCAAAAATGCAATTTAGCAATTTAGAAAAAACGCAATGAAAGAAGTGTTAGCTCAGGAATAATGTCTTGCCCTTTGTTAGCAAAATAAAACAATGTATCAGTTCCAGAAGAGTAAAACAGTTGCCCTGGGTACCCGGTTCGCCGTTGAATTCTTAGAATACAGTTTAACGTTGTCTCCCATGACCCAGGACTTCGCAACTTCAAATACTGACCGGTTGAGTAGATGAGAACGCGGACTCTTACGACACATTTATTATATTTAAGCTCAAGCTAGTGCAAAATTATGGATGCCGCCAAATTTACGGTACTCTATGGTACACTCTAGAATCGATGAAGCAATAAAACCGGATGTTAGAGTTTAGTGTAAAACACATTTCGTCGTTTCGAAAGAAACAGATCAGCATAAAAACGTGGGGAACAATCTAGAGTCTTGAAAAGGAAAAAGCTACTTGATCGAAATTGAACCACCTAACAAATTTCAGGCAAAGATGCACCATAAATCTTTGACCAGAACTTCAACAAACAATTTTGACCTTAAAAATAACGCTGTAATATTTACAGTAGCCTATTAAGGATGACATTTCAGATTGGGATCGCTTGACACATTTGAAAATCTTATTATATTCGGCGGGCTTTTAGACTTCCGTTGTCGCCGACATAGTTAAGACCCGGTGAAAGTTAAATGTTTCGGATCCATCCCGCACTTTTAGACTGATACTTAAAAAAAGAAAGTTATTAACTAATGAAATTGTGTCTGACCCAGATGAGAATCGGCCAGTAATCCGCGTGAGCAAGTGACACTAAGATCTCTCAGCCATAAGCTAAGCATATCATACTACCATTTAAAGCCATGTTGAAAAACAAAGTGACTAACAGTATCGGCGTCTATTTTTCTGTTCACGAGTATAAAACATAGGCCATCTGCAATTTGTTCTTAATTCAACATGATTCCTTTACGACAGCAAAGAGGATATTGTGGAGGGACGAAACAAAATGAATCACTAAAAAACTGAAAAGAACTGAAGACGAAAGTAAAGAATGAAATAAGGAAAATGAGAATGAAGGACTTGAGGAGGAAAGAAATGAAGAAACTAAAAAATGAGGAAAAAACAGGCTTTAAAGAACTAAGAACGGAAACAATAAACTGGGAAGTAAAAGAGTGCCTGGCGAAGTAAAAAGTGACGAATAATAATGAAGAAACGGAAGAAACGAGAAATCTGAAATCCTAGATGGAAAGAAAGGACAAAAAAGAAATTAAGGCTGGAGCTAAAGAACGGAATGAATTGACCAAACAAATTGGCAATGGGAAAAATTAACTAAGGAGGGCAAGAATGAAATAATGAGGGTGAACTGATCGAGGAAAAAGAAGCAATTGTGTAGAAAAAGAAATCAGAAATTAAACAACTTAGAAATTGGTGGCTAGGAACTGACGGATAAATAAACGAATTGATGGGGGATGGAGAGACACTGAGGAATAATGGATGTGCGAAAGTAACTCAAGAATCAAGAGAAGAACTGAAAAGGGAGGGACACAGACGGGATCGAAAGAAGAAGAAAAAAATAAAGACGAAAGAAGAAATAAACTGGCAAAGGAATAAAGGAAACAATTGAAAAAGGAATGAAGGAGCTAAAGATTGAAGTGAAAATTACAGGAAACATTTTAAATACTAAAAGAAAGAACTTAGAAAGGAAGGAAGTGAAGAACAATGGAGAGAAAGAATGAATGGACATGCAGTGAAGAACTGAAAAGAAAAGGAAAAAATGGGGTAAGGTTAAATAACAGAAAAACATTCAGATAAAATAGAAAAAAAAATTCGACAAAAGCGTGAAGAAATCTATGGAAACACTAACAGCCGATGCTGTTATATGCGAACTAACGATAGAAGAAAGAACGAATGAGCGAGAATGGGAAAAAGGAAAGAAGAAAGAATGAAACGAAAGAATGCAATAAAATGTTCAAAGGCTTTCCTTTGATAACGCATACTACGATGCTTACCAACGGAGGTAAGCCGCTTCTGTCGCTGCCTCTAAAAGAGGTTATGTTGAAGCCGGCTTCCGGATAGTATTTCATATTGTCCCAAGTTTCGACGCCGTCAGACATTACCTGCAAAGTACTTATGTTCAACATCAAAGACGATCACGTAAACACAACCTACAGTCGCCCTACACGTGAGGGGTAAGTGATTCGAATCGAAACTGCGATCGCTGCCGACGGTAGTCATCAATCGCTTCAAAGTGTCATTCAGTTCTGGCTGCCAGTAATGTACCTGAAACTCAGATACGTAAATAGTTACTGTAACAATTAAAGTATTATTAGACAAGAGTATAACTTTCATACATTTCTCAGCACGAACAGAATGCACGGATTTCCGGTCAAAAAACCGTACTGGTTCGCCCGTGTGCAGTTGTCGCCTAGCCAGCTGAGGTCAAAACCACAACTATCACCGTTGCTGCAAGTCTTATGAATGACTTCACGGCTGTAATTACGATACACTAAAACAACGTGTGATTAATAAAACATGATAAAACGCGTAGACAACCTAAATCAATATTATGATGCAAGTTTGCGTGATTTACTATGGTTAACATACTAAAGCAAAAATAATATTATACCTTTTACATACGCTATAAAAGTTCACGTCATTACTGAGAGCCAGTTACTTGTATACTGGATAAAAATTATACAGCCAAATGAACGTAAATATCACTGCCCAAAATGCACATGACACGAAGATCTGATATGCTGTTTCAAGCATCAATACAAGTTGTCAGTGCAAATTTTAGCATAATAAATGTATACAATATCAGTCAATTATTACAATTAATACAATATGATTCATTCATTTATTAACATGATCGTCTGATGCTTCGGATCAACCGTATTTTGCCACCTGCAAATATATTCTTTTAAACATTGATACAGGATTTAAACGGC